GAGGTACGAGGCTCCTACTTAATGAGGTACGAGGCTCCTACTTAATGAGGTACGAGGCTCCTACTTAATGAGGTACGAGGCTCCTACTTAATGAGGTACGAGGCTCCTACTTAATGAGGTACTAAGCTTCTACTTAATGAGGTACGAGGTTCCTTCTTAATGAGTAGGAAAAGGAGGAGGATAATATCATAAATAAATTTCGAAATCGTTTTAGAAATTCAAATAAATTTCATATTGCGTCTTCATAAATTTCACGATCTTAGTTTGAATTAATAAAGATAATGTAGTGGAGATAAGGATAGTAAATATCTTCTTAGATAGATAAGGGCTTTATCCGTGCAGCGAGAGATAGCGATAATGGTGTAGATTGTAGAACTAAAGATTCGATTAAATAAACAAGAATTAATATATGAGAATTAAAGATACAAAATTTAAAGATATGAGAATTAAATATACAATAATTAAAGATATGAGAATTAAAGATATGAGAATTGAAGATACGTGATTTAAAGATACACGATTTAAAGATACGAAAACTAAAGATATATGTATACAGGAGATATAGATATATTAGTCGCCATATCTAGCATGAGATAGAAGATGTAAAGATAAGATACGTGCAATATCTTCCTGCTATCTTCACGCTCTTCCACACGTCAGGTTGTTACTTTTAGCGTGTACATGTACGTATTCTTTACGTGTACGTGGACGCATTCTATACATGTACGCATACGTGTACGTATTCTATACGTGTACGTATTCTATACGTGAACGTGTACGTATTACGTTCGTGTACGTATTTAGCACTGGTACGAGAATCACTCAAAAAATTGAATGCGTCATATTGTTCAAATATTGACACACTCTCTCAGCCACAGCATAAACAAAGAGTGGACGTAGCACTGATACGATCATTTGCCGGGCCAAACTGGGTCAGGATGACCCACACCAGGGAAGGAAGTGCATCGATATTTGGACAATACCCTTTCATTTATATGAGTGTGTAACTAAAAATAACTAAACTAGTTCCTAGAAAATATATTTAAATTATATTTTCTGTATATATTTAAATATATAAAGAAAATATATTTTAAAAATAATATATAACAAATATATAAAATATATATTTGCTCTCCCACCGCCCTATTAGATTAAAATAATAGAAAAATATTATTAATAATATTTTATTTATTCTGTTATTTTAAATATTTTGGTTAAATTTATTGTTATTGAGCATTTTAGTTGCGAGTTAACTGGTTGCTATGTATGGGTATTGGTTATAGTTTATAATTGAAACTTTCCATGATTTGTATTTAATAAAAATTAAAAGGATTTTTGATATGTAAAATACGCCCAAAATTATACGCAGCAGGCACTTGATATACGCTGCAGGACACTTGATATACGCTGCAGGACACTTGATATACGCTGCAGGACACTTGATATACGCTGCTGGACACTTGATATACGCTGCAGGACACTTGATATACGCTGGACACTTGATATACGCTGCTGGACACTTGATATACGCTGCTGGACACTTGATATACGCTGGACACTTGATATACGCTGCAGGACACTTGATATACGATGCTGGACACTTGATATACGCTGGACACTTGATATACGCTGCAGGACACTTGATATACGTCTTGATATACGCTGGACACTTGATATACGCTGCTGGACACTTGATATACGCTGCAGGACACTTGATATACGCTGCTGGACACTTGATATACGCTGCAGGATATTTAAAGTATACAATACAGTACACATCTCTCCAATACACTCACCGGATACTGAAGAAATACACTACAATTTAATCATTAATACGAGGGAGCCACTCTTTAAATAAGCAGCAATACCTCTAAATATACAACTACACAACTAAGACGCCACAAATGCGATACAAACAAGCTATTATAAGACAAAAAATACCGCTTAAAATACGCTAATGATCATTTAAAATACGCCGTAAACAGCTTTAACCTACCTTAAATACGCTATCAATACGCTGCTCGAGTACTTAACTTATATACGCCATTAAACGCCATGCAATCACTAGAAATACTTTATAAATACACGGGAAAACACGCATTAAGAAGTAATAGCACAAAGCAATATGCCAATATCTTATAAATGCTGTAAAAACGTCTATGATTACTCTAAAATACGCCTAATATACTCTATTATCCATTTATAAAATGCTAAATAAAATTTTTAAGACAATTTAAACATGCCTTATTGGACTACTATATTTTTTAATTCGTATGCAAAATACGCGGCGAGAAAAATACGCTTTCGTTGTAACACCACACCACACAACTGCGTCAAAATACAATTGATACAAAATACAATTTAACCAGTGGTTAAAGTTCAGTGTACCAGGATTGGCGCAGTGAGTTGCGAGTTCGAGACCGCAACAAGCTGTGAATGTTCTGCGATGTTTAAAATCGGCTACAGGCCTACGGCCTAATGAGCGCTGAAACCGCTATTATTAATATTATTATTATTATTATTATACTTCATTAATGCACGCAAAAAAGATTAAGGATTCCATCAGATTTCATTTCAATCAAAATATCCATTAAAACTTCAACTATCTAATATAGTTACTCAATGAAATTTAATATAATGATTGAATTCTTGGGCGATGCCTGTAAATAATTTCAATCAAAATATCCATAAAAACTCAAATCATCTAATATAAAATCACTTAATGATATATATTCTAATGATGAAAACCTGTAACTGAAGGGAGTCCTGCCACGATAATACGACAACATCATCCATGGTAGGACAAACTATTGACATTTTAAAATTTCATTTATAAAAAGGTGACCCAATATTCCGCCTGGTGATAATAATTATATAATTAAAACAAGTATAATATAAACGATCCTTGCGAATTATCCGAAACTTCTCCGTCAAGTTGTAGAGTAATTGCTTCGTAGTAAAACCTTGTAAAAATTTCACCAAATATAATACAAATTCGGACAAAATAAAGTAACGTTTCATTAACCTCTTTTAAAAATAATTTGGTTCTTTAATAAATGTATTGGTTTTAGGAAACGATCTTCAGGTATTAACGTTTTAAAAACCGTTTCTGTGTCGGGTATATTAAAATTTCGTTTTTCAAAAAATAACAGCATATATAAACAGCTGTATGATGGAACAATAAATGTTTCCTTGAAGCAATACTAAAATGAAGCAAAGAATTTGGTTTACATCGTTGCGGGTCTTGTAAATATTGCAAAATAACGAACATAACGCATCTATATTCCTAATTTTCCTCCTAAATGCAAAGAATTTGATTGTTGACGAAATATTTTATTAGTTTATTAGCATCTTTGTTGTGTTGTTTGCTGTTGGTCACTGTTTATAATGCAAGCATGCGACACTTATCTAGCTGATTCACTATTATTTGAAAATAAGAACAGAAACTAATTGCAATTCTGAAAATATATTGTATATACTTTACTTTATTTGTAGGAATTTCTCGAGGTAAATATCATCACGCTCAGAGAAGCATTGTAATGATATCCTATTTACTTGAAAGGGGTCCAGGAAACACAAACACATGAAGAGAAACTTCTGTGCTTCTCGTGAGTTGCCGAGAGGAGCATCGTTGAATGTCCTTCAAGGAATTCCGACTCAGGACGCATTGTCTACTCATCTTTCCGATACGGCAATAAATTAAAATGGGCGAGCCACAAGCGTCGTTATTACTTAGGAAACAACTAGCAGGTAAGTGGTAATTCGAAAAATTTCTTTCAGGTCCAATGAAGTTCTTATTATTTCGGCCATTATGCTGCCCGATCTGAAGTTAGGCTTACTACGGCACCAAAATCAGCCTGTAACGCATTGCAGAACAAATATCCTTCAATTCCTTGTATTTTCGTTTACTACAATTTTTCTTTGCAACTTCGACTTACATATATAATGAAGTTGTTTTGTTTTATAGTTTCGACATTTAACATTGAGAAACTTGTATAATTTGTATAATATCTTCCACATTAATGTTTCAACAGTCGACACATCTTTTCCAGATGAATAGTAGCTATGATTGACTGATGGCAAAGGCCTCACCTCAAACATTTCAAATTGGTGTTTCAGAAACGCAGAATAGATTTGATTGAGAAAATTTTACGAGCCAAAATTATTTGCTGAGTTGTAATGGCGATGTCCCCAATTTGGAATATCAGTTGGAAATTCCTTAAATCATGGGTAAAAAAAGTTTAACAAGTGATTTTCAATAATTGCTAATGAAAATAGGCCTTTCTTCTTATTTTTCACCAAAGAAAGTTGGGAAGAGTAGGTAGGAATGGGCCTTGTTGGCCATATCAATGGCCCATGGGTATTTTTTGTCCAATTCTCCAATTCACTGTAGGCTTCTGCCTAATTTTTCACTTTGGTTCCAGCCTAATCAGGATTGAAAAATTCCTACCTATTACTGAAATCTTGTGGTTCCAAACTTTTATGGTTTTAACTAATTATAATATGCTTGAAATCATGGAACAATTTTTTTACAATTATATTAATTTTTAATTTCCTGGTCTAGCTGAAAATTTTGTTTTTTCAATGTGCATATAATGATTTATGAAATTCAATCTGGAATGTTAGTTTAGGGACAATTACCCAAAAATCATTATCATGAAATAAAATGGCTATTTCCTTGTAATTTGTATTAAATTGCCCAACAATGTACATTCATAGAAATAAATACAACCATATTTTTTTCAATTAGCAAGAACTTTATGAATGGGTGCCTATTGGGAATATCAGGCACAATTTTCAAAGCATTAAAGTTGAAAAAAAATCATTATATGGCAGATTTTCTAAGATAGCAGACAAAAATTGTTAACTTTTTATATTTTGTATATACTAAATTAAAGGATATAGGGTAAACACGGTATATCGTGGGTAATTCCGTCACCTCTCCAGCTTTTCCTTTATATTAAGCTTTGTTTTAGTTCCATGCGTTCGTTGATGGTTGAAATAGTGACGTCATACATTTGCACGTCAAACTACTGCCAAAACGCTAGGTCTTGGCCATCTAGTGGGAAAATATTGAGATCCAAAGAGAGACGATGCACGCTACCCAGTGAGATCATCAAAAAATGTGTCAAATTTGACAGTTGACCTTGCTCTACCAAAAAGTGAATAACTGTTTGTATAGGAAGAATATTATGGTTTGAGACTTTTAAATACGTCTGTGAATATATTAGGAATCCTTTAAGTATACCGTAAAATGGGGTAACTTAGACCGGCGGGGTAACTTAGACCACTTTTCATTTTTTTTTACAAAAACCCCCACAACTCAAAAACTATTTGACATAGAAAAATTTTGTCAATGGGCATTAAAGGCCTAATACTGAGGCTACACAACACAATAGAAAGATTTAAAAAGTTTGCATATCTAATAGGTTAAAAAATTAAAAATGTGACCCACGAAAAAAAGCTATTATGCAAAGCCTGTCAGAGTACCCCCTCCAATTTTTTTATTTTTTGGTTAAATAACTCCAGGTTTTGATGCATTGTAGTAGAACTCTTCTAGTTACATATGCAAATGACAAATTTTAGGAAAGTGTCATAGTTTGCAAATGGGGGGTGCCGCCCCCAAATGGGGTAACTTAGACCACCTAATGTCAGCCCTTATGGGGTAACATAGACCGGCTTGGAAATTAATATAAAATTACCATATATAACATATTTTATGTTTGACAGCCTATATTCATGTTTTTTCTTTATGTTTCAGACTCTACAGAGTCTTATATATGGTAATTTTAACTTAATATCCAAGCCAGTCAATATTACCATATCAGGGCTGCCATTAGGTAGTCACATTTCCCTCATTATGGGGTGGCGCCCCCCACTTGCAAACTATGGCACTTTCCTCAAGTTTGTCATTTGCATATGTAACTAGAAGAGTTCTACTACAATGCACCAAAGCCTGGAGTTATTTGGAGTTATTTTACCAAAAAAAAAAATAATCAATTTTACCACCCGGTCTAAGTTACCCCAAGAGCTGGGGTAACAAAGACCATCACTTGTTTTGAAATTACATAAAGACTATGAGAGGCAGGAGCCAGCAATTTATGGTAAGTGAAGCTAGAGTATAGACCTGTATTTTGCATGTTTCAATTTAAGTTTAATTTAGCTAGTAAGAAAATGGCATCATTTATAAGAAAAAAAGTGGTCTAAGTTACCCCATTTTACGGTACTTGTATTGGCTGATTTCAAGTGGTAAATAAATTAATAGATGATTAAGTTGAGAAATGGAATTAGACACATGAAAACTAATTCTGTCACAACTCGAATTGGACACAGACAGATCGTTCCAAGCTGTGTACAAAAATTAAAATTTGCTTAATTAAAAGCTTAATAGTTGGTAATTAAAAGCGTAATTAAGTAGTGTTCGATATTCATTAGTGTTCTAATTCAAAGCCGTGTTGTATTCCAATACAGCTCACACAGCAAACGGAATTCGAACACGTGGATGACGGCATTACATATCAGTAGAATTTGAAGCGCGGACGGAATACGCCTCACCACGTGCCGAATATAGCCACACACAGTGACGGAATACAGGGATTTGGTAGGTTTGCATTCTAAAGGCTTTTAAATAAATATGGCAACATTTTGCGACGTTTCGTCATTGCTGACGTGTAGTGCGGTGTTTTGAGAGTCACATAAAGCAAACAGAACTTGAGTAACGCATACGGTTATTTTTTTATAGTTTTTCATTTCTCGATGTGTCCTTAATGTGACAGAATATACCGCGTTTACCCTAGAATGGGTATAAATTTAACAACATTTTAACATAAGCATGGATGTTTTTGCCTCATTCCTGGGTGGTTTCTGCCCTATTTTACCACGTTTCTCTTGACTTTGTTTCGTGTGTGTCTGTCATCAAAAATTCAAACCTTAATTCAGAGTACTTCTAAACGTCCTAGTAAGCTGAAATTTGGCATGCATGTTTATGCTGCCTAACAATTCAAGATTTTATCATCAGAAACAATAATTAAAAATTTTTTTTTTAAATATGTTGAAAAAATATAAAAAACACTAAAAATTCACTGTTTGGAATTTAGTTTTTTCTTGAACATCCACACTTGCCAACCTTGGAAACTGATTTGAATTGCTAAAATTGCTAACTAAAAAGTTGAAAATGAATAAATATAAAAAATACTTTAAAAACCATGTTTTTCTGGTTTTTATAAAACTAAAAATAGTGAAATAAAGCAAGTAAAAAACTTTTAAAAACCACGTTTTCTTAACGGGCAAAAAAGAAAAACATTTACTCTTACATAACATTACATAACATTTTACATAACTTAAATGTTATGTAAGAGTAAATGTTTTTCTTTTTTGTCCGTTAAGAAAATATGGTTTTTAAATTTTTTTTTCATTTATTTTATTTCACTATTTTTAGTTTTATAAAAACCAGAAAAATGTGGTTTTTAAAAATATTTTTTATATTTATTTATCCTAGAATGAAATGGGTATAAATTGCCAGTAATTATAGGAGTTTATATCTAGTTCCAATCAAGGCAAAAATTTTGAAAATAGTGAGTTAAATCAGATTTATTTGTAGGTGATTTTATGAAATCACAGGCAAGAAAGCCCTTTTTATATTTTCATTGCAGAAATTGTTAAAGGGAATTTGGAACGGGTGAAATTAACCTTGAACTTGGGCATTGTTGTCACTGGTGGCTTCCGCCAAACAAAATTACATGAGATAGCCATGAGATTTCATGCCTACTGAAATTATATGATATTAGACCAACAATATTTCAGAAAAAGTATGACTTCTCCCAACCTGATAGCAATATGAAGAAAAAGTCTAAAAATTTGTGGTTTTTCTATTATTATTTAAATAATTTTGAAATTCCACAGTTGGAAAGGTTTGGCAGAACCAGACACTTCTGCAGAGTTAAACAATTTTGTTGCCAAAAGCCTCTCATTTAGGCCTAAAGTGTCACCATTAATTTTTGAGGTTTTGTTGCCAGAACTACCTACCTGAATCATTAAGATTTCTCACCAAAAATATATGTAAAGCAAAATTTACAAAGCAATGTGTTGGCAAGACCTTCAGAAGATATGTATGTACCGTCAACCGGGGCAACTCGGGACTGGCGGGGCAACTCGGGACGCACCTCTGACACGTCGTAAAACGGTCATAGTAGCGAAACATTGGAATATAGCTAAACTAAATATAGTGGCCTAAACAACAACATTTTTCCTATCTATGTAGTATAAAGGAAGTCGAAAAATATGACATTTACTAGCTTTGAAAAATTCCTGAAAAAAATGGTGAAAAACGCTATTTTGAAAAGTTACTTCTGCTAAGGTCTCTGGCAAAAAAAATATTTGCCGTATTAAAAAATTTTACATACATAAAAGTTGCACCCAGGTGTCGGCTTGAAAATGTAATTGACAGATTTTGCCTATCTCATTACAAAAAAAAATGGCGGCCATTTCCGCACGGCGGGGCTACTCGGGACACCCCCCCAGGGCTATTCGGGACACCCCGGAAAGCACATTTATAGTAGAACCTCAGTTAGCAAAGGCTCCAGTTAAGAAAAAAATTGATTAAAAACAAAGAATATTGATTACATTTACCTTGCTGAGCAAAAAAAAAAGTTCACTTATCCTCTCACAAATTACAAGCCGTCCTGTAAGCTTACAGATACAGAAAAAATGCTATGATGCTGCTGATATGAAGCTTGCAGTGGACAAGGTTGTTGTAAATGCTCAATGGCATGTTCATGGATAGGGTAATATCACATCAATAATACAGTAATATCCCATCAATAATAGGGTACCATGACTACCATCAACTGGGTGATTGGGTGTGTTCATAATGATGGCCAAAGTGGGGTAATAAACGGTCATAAACAGTGGCCAAAGTCACTCAGGCGTTTATGACCTGGTTTACAACCCTGGCGTTTATGACCCCGACGTTTAGGACCCCATCATGAATCAAAAACATAGTGGAAGTCACCCCAGTTGACGGTAATTAATGTTTGAGGTAATATCATATCAATAAAGGAAAAACAAGTAAAAATCACAGTAAATGTCATTTATTCTACCTCTACATCATCTACAATGAAAGAGGACTTCAGAGTACTGTTAGTACTGGATGAGTACGCTCTGCATGCTTCAAATATTTTAAAATGAAGTTTTATTCCCAGTGTCCCGAGTAGCCCCGTTCGACGAGTAGCCCCGTTCGACGGGGCTACTCGGGACACTCTTTTTTTGCTTCTGGCACCTTACGAATAGCATATGGAATTTTTTTGAAGATGCCATTCTTCAAGTAATAGGCAAAGGGAAGGCCAAGATAAAGTATACCAGCATGACCTTAATTCAAGTAATAGGCAAAGGGAAGGCCAAGATAAAGTATACCAAGCAATTTTTTTAGCCTCCACTTCACTTTTTGACCAATTTCTTATTTGCCTCTTATGAACAATAGTAATTTATAGTTTGTGCCATATTAAAAAGTTGTATCTTCTCCTCTCATTTACAAGCAACAACATCAAAGATATGGTACAATTATTTAATTTGTAAAGCAAATATCTATAGTGAATCTAGAAGTGCTTTTTTCTGATTTATTTATGGTTTGAATTAGGTATGCATTATGAAAAACAATATTTTACTTGTGTTTAGAGTTTCATGAAGATCCATCAGTTAATGAGAGTTTTTTTCATATACCTTTGCCTTAAAAGTAAGAGAAGCAAGTTCATTTAATCTGCAAATTGTGAAAGAATTGTGAACTTGTTGCTACACATTTTCTAATAATACCTTTAAAACTTTTTATTTTTATAAATAATTTATTATAAATTTTATTATAATCCCTTTCTAACTTCCTAACACAATATTGACATATATAGGTTTCTTAGTTCCAACACGATGTTGACATAGGTACTTCTGTTCCAACATGATGTTGACATAGGTTACTAAATTCCAAGGAAGTACCTACACATTGCAACTTACGTATATTTTGTATTTAAAATTATCAGTCAATAGGTTATTACATTACTTTGTCTCATAGCCTGAATGTTCTATTTCTTCCTCGTAAATTTGACCTTACTACATGTTATCCCATCAAACGGGGCAATAACTGATGGTTTTTTGAGCATTTTTGTTAATAACTTCTCACCATGAAACCTTTCATAAACAAGTTTAGGCTCATTTTATAGCCCTTTGTGAGGGCTATTGTATGGCATCTCCAAATTAAACATTTAGCTGAAGATGGAACTTATCCATGTAGGTACTTTTTCAGTGAGACTGTGGTGAATTTATGATGCTTTTTTTTTAAATCCTTACTAAATTTTTGGTTTAGGCAAACAAAATATGTATGTACATCCAAGCTTTGTTTGGTCATTTTTAGTATAATTGACATTATAATTTGCTTCAATTAACATTTAATCTTCCAGAACTGAATAAGAACCAGTGGAAGGGTCCTCAGCAGTGGTTCTGTTCATAAAATAATCCTAATTTAATATTTCAGAACTGAATAAGAACCAGTGGAAGGGTTCTCAGCAGTGGTTCTGTTCATAAATTAATTCAAATTTCATCTTACAGAACTGAATAAGAACCCAGTGGAGGGGTTCTCAGCGGGCCTGATAGACGACAATGACATATTCAAATGGGAGGTCCTGATCATTGGGCCGCCCGACACGCTGTACGAGGGGGGCTTCTTCAAGGCACATCTCATATTCCCTAAAGAATATCCACTGAGACCTCCCAAGATGAGGTTTATAACCGAGATATGGCATCCAAACAGTGAGTGTGGGTGTAGGGGGATGTGGGGGAAAATTTGGGGGTGTGGGTCGACACCTCACAGCCTCCCTCATTACAGTTGCCGACACCTCACAGCCTCCCTCATTACAGTTGCCGACACCTCACAGCCTCCCTCATTACAGTTGACAAGTCCGGCGATGTCTGCATCAGTATCCTGCACGAGCCTGGGGATGACAAGTGGGGCTACGAGAAGGCATCCGAGCGCTGGCTGCCCGTGCACACGGTCGAGACCATCCTTGTGTCGGTGATCAGCATGCTCGCCGACCCCAACGATGAGAGCCCTGCTAACGTGGATGCTGCTGTGGGTGGCTTAGGGGGCCCTTAAAGATAGGCTGTCCTACTACGGCGTAGGCTACGGAGTCCTTGAAGGGACTGCAGAGTCCTTGAAAGGACTACAGAGTCCTTGAAGGGACTACAGTGTCCTTAAGTGGGTTACAGGATCAAGGCGGTCGTGGTGTTGGTAATTTATATGCATGCTGACCAGATGACGAGAGCTGAATTTTCCTGCATTGTTGCTGATGTCCTGAGATGAATGTTACTTGGAGTGGCTTTTTTTATAATGGTTGATAGGTGGGATTTATTTTTTGATTATGGGGAGGTGACTTTGAACAGAAACGTTTAGATAATAAGGGAGACGGAACAGAAACGTTACTGCATCGTTGGTGTTATAAAATTAAGTCTGCTTACTGGTTACAAGCAGTACTATCCTGTATTATCCTACTATCTGCTTACTGGTCTCCAATGTCACTAGTCCTGTCACTAGTCACTAACATGTTGCCGCCAACAGAAAGACTGGCGGGACGACTACGCCACGTTTAAGAAGAAAGTCGCGCGCAACGTCCGGCGGAGCCAGGAGCTCTAGGGGCACCAGGTGGGGACGGGTGTTGGTCTGATGATCCAGGTGGGTGGCCTGGGGGGACGGTCTAGGGCACTAGGTGAGGTGGGAGTGGGGGGTGGGAGCACTTGGGCACCAGAGGGTGAGGGTGCTGGGGGCAGCAGGTTTGAAGGGCTTCATTGCAGTTGCTTGGGGGATGCTCTTCCAGGTGGGAGAAATATTATTTCTCGCGACGATGCGACTTGAAGTCTTCGAAATTTTTGTGCAATCCTCATTAGGAATCATAAATGGAAATCGTTGTTATTGGGCCAATAATTTTCATGAAGTTGTGAATTATATCAGAACATTAACAATAATAATTAATAGACCAACTAGTTTCACCATCTTGCTAACTTGTTATTGATATGGGTCCGTCTGACAGCATTTTAAAAGGCTAATTGTTCAATTGTTTATAGTAGTCGTAAAACTTTTTATTGATGTAGGTCAGTCAAATTAATTGTAAATCAATTATGTGCTTATTTGATGCATTATATACCTATTAATGAAATGTGCTATAAATCAATTAGTAACTTTTTTAAATAGTGTATTTATTATGTTGATAAAATGTGATATAAATAAATTATCAACTTTTTAAAATAGTATATTTATAATATTTTTAAGCCTTGTCATAGATGAAATGTGCTATAAATTTATTATTTGCACATATTAATATTAATTATACATATTAATAATAATCATTAACTATTTGTTATTTATAATATCATTTATAAACAATGAATCTAACATGGCAGATTTATATACATCTAGCATCTATCTTTTTAATAGTATATTTATAATATTTATAAACCTTGTTATAGCTGAAATGTGCTATAAATCAATTATTTAAATATATAAATAAATTAAATTAAATATATTATTTAATAACTTAATTAATTAATAATATTAATTTATAAATTAATTATTTAAATAGTATATTTATAGTATAATTTTATTAATAAATTTTCACACGGCAGGTGGGCGCAGGAGCGGCGCAAGCAACACACGAGTTCCTCACTCTCCCTCTGCGGCGCACACGGCCTGTCTCCGTGTGATTACATCCTTAAGTTATGCCTATAAACTTACTACGTCGATAATACTTTAATTACCCGTGTTTCTTCACTTATTCATCCTCAATACTAACGTGTTCGTTATGGGCCCTGTCCACGGCCGCGCTGATGCTCCACCTTCGACGTCTACCAATGACGCTAGAAAATGTTTTGGTATCCCCTAGGTTCGAACCCGCGATTAGGTTCATTTCGGCGCCGCCGCTGCATTACGTTGGTTAGGGTTGAGTTATTGTCGCATATTGATCGCTTTAGAGGATCAATATTAAATTAATATTAAGGATCGCTGCCTAAATACCGCGCGTTTAGTTCAAATGTGTCAGCGTTGAATAAGTATCCAGTTGCGGGCATGTCTCCAGACCGTGCGAATTTTTAGAATATTCTTCTTCAACTGTTTATTTTAACATTGATTATCGAAGTAGTTCTATTAACGAAATAGCAGCTGTTACTAGACACATCATCCCACTCACAGAGTAAGAAGGGACTCTGCTTGACGCGCTAAAAAAATACAGTACCATCTTTATCCTCTACCGCCGTATGTCACTCTCCGGGAACATAACTTTAAACTTATACGTAAACTATTAACATAACATAGTGATCTCGGTGCTGTAGTGTAGGCCTGATGTGGCCTGTCGCCGATTCTTTGTAGTGTAGCAACCTGAGAACGTTTGTACGCAACACAGAACATTTTAAAGTTGTACGTGGCGGCAACCATCAGTGCAAGTCATTTTGCGCTCACTAGAACGTATCCTTTTTGGGAAGTAGGCGCGTGACAATATTGCTCCGGTTAATCGTGTCAGGCGGTAGAAGGTCAATGCATTTTTGATGCCAAAATAAATACTTCCCTGCTGCCGTAAACAAGTTATATGCATCATAATATGGGTGAATTAGAACTTCAAAGATATTTAACCCTCATCTGTTAGTCCACTGATCATTCTCAGTTTACCCCCAGTTTGGCAACTACAGTAAACTACCAGTTGGTCCCGATAAAATGTCGTGTTCTCTAGTATCATGAAGTTTGAATTTTTTGGAGCATCATCAGGCGGCGCTCAAATTTGTAGATAATTACTTCATGTGGAACAGTCTCCCTGATAGCATCGTTGACGCTCCGAGTATGAACATCTTCAAGAACAAGTCATGTGGACCAGACGGTTTCCATCCCAGATTGCTCAAAGAATTAGCAACCGTTCTGGCCGGCCCATTGACAGTATTCTTTCAAAAAACCTTGAGCAAGGGAACTTTGCCGTCCGACTGGAAAGAAGCTCAAGTAACACCATTGTTCAAAAAAGGTGACAAAAGCAGCCCCGGCAACTATCGCCCTGTCAGTCTGACAAGTGTTGTTTGTAAGCTAATAGAATCTGTAGTAAGGGATAGGATTATCGATCACTTGACTGCTCACCATCTCATATCAGATTGTCAACATGGTTTTATTGCCGGCAGATCCTGCACCACTAACTTATTCTGAACGTTGAACGATTGGACTCGCCTGCTGGACGAAAGGGAGCCAGTGGATGCATTGTACCTCGATTTTGCCAAAGCATTTGACAGTGTTCCGCATGAGCGGCTGTTGCGTAAAGTGAAGTCCTTGGGAATTGAGGGAAACGTACCCCAATGGATCAGAGATTTTCTAGTAGGTAGACGACAACGTGTCAGTATTAATGGAACCGTGTCAGACTGGGCATCAGTGCGCAGTGGCGTGCCTCAAGGAAGCGTTCTTGTGCCTATTTTGTTCGTTGCTTTTATAAACGATCTGCCAGAAGCTGTGTCTAGCGTGTGTTCCATGTATACCGCCGACACAAATGTTTATAATACAGTGAAGGATGCGTGCAATAAAGCGCAATTGCAAGATGATCTTGACAGCTTAGTTAACTGGGCTGATACGTGGCAGCTGCGGTTTATGCTGACAAGTGTATAGTACTTCACCTCGGGAAGAACAATGAACAGCAAGATTACAGTATGAGAAGACATGGTTGCAACGAGAGAGTAATGATTGAAAAGTCTAGTGTGGAAAAGATCTTGGAGTTTATGTCGACAAGGAGCTGAAATTTTCTAAGCATGTTGACACGCAAGCTAACACATCCAACAAACTTCTTGGACTAATCAGACGCTCATACGAGTTCCTAGATGCAGAAACGATGAAGCAGTTGTTTGTTGCCGTCGTACGCCCGAGTCTAGAGTTTGGAAACGTTGTGTGGTCACCGAGATTTGAAAAGGACAGAAATTTAATAGAAAATGTTCAAAGACGTGCAACAAGGATAATTCCAGGCTTGAAGAGCAAGTCCTACGAAGAAAGGTTGAAGATTATGAAGCTTCCAAGCCTCAGTTATCGACGTCTTCGTGGGGACCTCATTGAAGTATACAAGTATACTCATGGTCTATACATGGTCCCTGAAGGGTTACTAGAATTTGAAACAAGAACCAACACCAGGGGCCACGGCTATAAGCTAAAAAAATTGCGCTGCAACTTCTCCACGCGACAAATTTTCTTCTCGCTTCGAATCACCGACATGTGGAACAGCCTCCCCGATGACATCGTTGGCGCTCCAAGTATGAACGCGTTCAAGAACAGACTAGATAAAGCTATGGAAAAATATATGTTTAGCAAATTACGGACCAGGCAATAAGTCCAGCAGCTATCTCAATCAATCGTCAGCTATGGAAAGATCGGATTCCAAAGGCCGGATCCCTTGTGAATAAAGTCACGAAAAATTAAGAATCGGCAACAGGCCATGGGCCTATTTCTTCAGTGCCGACACTTCTATTTCAAAAGGTCTATAAAACCGGACCGGTTAGAACCAGAATCGGCTAGGTAGAACCGGAATTGGACGGCTAGAACCGGACCTATCTATGACCATCCTGATAACATCCGAACATGATTGAATATGACTAACGATGTTATACGTTACCCTTAATAAAACAGTAGGACAATGAACGAGCTACACAGTTAGTCTATTTGTATATTGTACAGGACTCGTTACATACGTACACAGGCTCGACACATTACAATACACATCCCCAGGGAACCCACAGCAGTTACACACAATATTGCGTAGTACAATAAGACATTCTCGTGTCAGATATTGCATATTGTTCCGGTATTAATTCTTCCTGAAATATTTAATGAGAAATGTACTACAAACATTACTCGAGCGACATGAGCAATGGCTGACGATGAGTGGTACAATAAATGGAAAGAATGAGTACAATAAATGGAAAGAATGAGTACAATAAATGGAAAGAAGAATGAGTACAATAAATGGAAAGAATGAGTACTTGAATGAAACTTAATGAGATGTTGAATGAAACTTAATGAGATGTTGAATGAAACTTAATGAGATGTTGAATGAGACTTAATGAGATGCTGAATGAAACTTAATGAGATGTTGAATGAGAGACTTAATGAGATGTTGAATGAAACTTAATGAGATGTTGAATGAAACGTATTGAGTTTCATTCATACACTTAATACAGAGTACAACGAACTAAACAATACAGGCACACAGAGGTTATTTGGTGAAGCGAAATAAAATACAAGGAATTTAAACACACAAAGAAATAAATGAGAATTTGTCAAAATAACGATGCGGTTTTAGCTTTTGTGGGTCATTTTGACCCAGTTTGACCCGGTAAATAATCGTATCAGTGCTACGTCCGCTCACTGTGTACGAAAGTGTGTCAATATTTTGACAACATGACATACATTTTTCCTAGTGGTCAGTGCCGAATCACAAACATTAGTTAAATCCTGCACTCCTTTTCTACTAGTAATTCTGTACTAGTTTTCTAGTGTTGCGGCGAGTTTAAAACTATAATTTTTGCCTGTAGATTTGCTCTAGAATTTTGGACACTAGCAGCGTGCGTTACTAGAGCATCTAGCGTGGCAGTGAACAGGCAGCGTTACTAGATGACAGAGGTTATCTAGGTTATGAAATTTTCTAGATGACAGACTCTTCCAAAAATTCGGCTTTTTCCTAGATAAAGAGATTTTAAATTTCCTAGATAGATGGTCTTCGGAGATGTCTATTTTTTTCTAGCTGTGCCTAGATTCTAGATAAGTTTATGGTGCCTGAGTTAAAATGTAGTTTTCCTAGATGAGGATTTTCTAGGCAAGAATCATCGAGGCTAGGACTAACGTCAAGGAATACATCTAGAGAAGATAGTCTAGTAAAATTAATATAATAAAAACGTTCTCTTGTAATCCGTTAGTAATCGGTCATCTAGTAACTAGATGCTAAACATAGGCTTGACATCTAAACATAGGTTTGGCATAACTAGATAGCATCAAAAATAGTTTAACTGAAGAAAATTTACTAGAATAATCAATAGCTAATTGATTTCTAGATGTTTCCTCCAATTTCTAGACGAAAAAAAATATTGTCATACCTAGAGATAAATCGAATATTATTCATGCTAGATAATTCACTGATACTAGACACTAGAGAGCGAATTCCTGTACAACCTACATGTGAGCTCACCTAGATAAGCTGTAGGTCAAACAAGGAAAATCTAGTCAGACGATCTCTAGGTTCAAATTGACGCGTCGACCAATAAGTTTCCTAGAAACATCTAGGAATATAAAGAACTACACTCAGGGTAATTAGTGGGCCTTTGTCCAAATATTCCGTGACAATTCCCTAGATATACTAGATGTTTCAGATCACCAGTTCCCTAGATATACTAGATGTTTCAGATCCCCAGTTCCCTAGATATACTAGACGTTTCAGATCCCCAGTTCCCTAGATACACTAGACGTTCCAGTTCACTAGTTCCCTAGATACACTAGATGTTCCAGTTCACTAGTTTCCTAGATACCTACACTAGATGTTCCAGTTCACCAGTTCCCTAGATACACTAGATGTTCCAGTTCACCAGTTCCCTAGATACACTAGATGTCCCAGTTCACCAGTTCCCTAGATACACTAGATGTTCCAGTTCACTAGTTCCCTAGACACACTAGATGTTTCAGATAACCAGTTCACTAGATACACTAGATGTTCCAGATCACCAGTTCCCTAGATACCGGTACACTAGATGTTTCAGATCACCAGTTCCCTAGATACACTAGATGTTTCAGATCACTAGTTCCCTAGATATAAAATAATAGAAAAACCTATAGGCGGCAGGGACTCCTAGTGTGCTGTAGCCACGACTTACCTAGATAATATCTAGGTATCTAGTTACCTAGATATTCTAGTTCCCTATAACTAGAGACATGTACATGACATTAAGAACTAGTAAAAGTAGCAAGGGAGTAGGAGTATGTTCAGATATACATAGGATTTCCTAGAGGCTCTTATAGGATTTCCTAGAGGCTCTTATAGGATTTCCTAGAGGCTCCTATACACGTAGAAAGACAGCAGTGCAAGTAGGCAAGTTTGTGGATTTTTTTCCTAGATGAAAATAGGTAAACCTTTAACTAGATCACTTACCTCCTCTAGAGTACCCCCTAGAAGCTGATAGATCGATCACTCCCTAGATGAAATCTTTAAAAACAACATCTAGGTACAGGAAAAGAACTCTAGGGAAACAGATGACTGGTAAAATCCTTACCTAAATAACTACAAATAATAGTCTAGGCAGAAGGGAGACATGTTCCCTAGAAATAGTCTAGGTAGAAAGGAGAAATGTTACCTAGAAAGAAGTAGGACTAAATTTTACAAACAAATAAAATTATGTAAAAAAAACTCGCCTAGATGAACATGCGAGTCACCTAGACACGAACCTAGAATAGGGCAGGATGCGGCAACATTCACATAGGTAAAAAACATTCAGGAAAATCTTCATTTTTTGTGCCTAGATATTCAAGTTTCATGCCTAGATGTTCATCTTCTATGCCTAGATGTGTACGTTCCATGCCTATATGTTCACGTTCTATGCCTAAATGTTCACGTTTGTACATAAAGAAAACGTTCAATTATATTTTTGGCATGTAGGCACCTAGATATCTAGATTCGAGAAGAACGCTGTTAATTATTAGGTGTCAATAAAGTCAGTTAACCTAAATAAGTTTGTGATTAAAAAGGCAGTCAGTCATACATCTAGTATCTAGTTATTAATTTAAAAATATTATCCTAGATAAATCAAACAGACTTCGACCCATAGTATGCGTCCTAGATGTACCTAGATGAATATTAGTTTCTGCAGAAACCATCAAATGATTTCAATATTTAGGATTATCAGATCTAGGTGATGTATCTAGTAAATGAATAGAGTAATGAAGTATTCATGCCTAGATGAGTATACAAACCCAAGTTATTTATCTAGGCAGGCTAGGGTGTGGACCAAATTAATTAGAAATTTCGAGGACAAAAGATGATCTAGTATCATCTAGAAATTAATAGAACGGCGTCTAGATAGAAACTCTAGAAGCATAGAGGCGATGTAGAATTAGATATTGGCTACCTAGATTCAGCAAGGCGGACCTAGGCAGGAGGCAAGGGGACACCCCTAGATGCATAGGTAATTTCTGCACATCTAGAAGCGGACAAGAGGGTTCACAAGGCATGTCAAAGACGAATCTAGGAGTGAACATACACCTAGATATACCTAGACAAATTAGGTCGTGAGAACACCAGTAGTCTCTAGACTAATCGAGGAGCAGTCACCTAGAAACCTATAATGTCTAGATGTAGAAATACAGAATGTCTAAAGAAATGTGAATGTAGGTAAACCTACACCTAGATATTTCTAGGCGCGGAGACCATGGCAATTCTAAACAAGTCAGAGCGATGATCCACCTAGACATGCCTAGACTTGCGCAAGGCCCTCTAGACCTGTCTAGGCACAGGTCCCTAGACCTGTCTAGACACAGGACCCCTAGACGTGTCTAGGCACAGGCCACCTAGAAGCATCTAGACACAGGCCACCTAGACGTGTCTAGGCACATACCACCTAGACGTGTCTAGGCACAGGTCCCCTAGACGTGTCTATGCACAGGTCCCCTAGACGTCTCTAGGCACAGGCCACCTAGACGTGTCTAGGCACAGACCACCTAGACGTCTCTAGGCACAGGCCACCTAGACGTGTCTAGGCACAGACCACCTAGACGTGTCTAGGCACAGGTCCCCTAGACGTCTCTAGGCACAGGCCACCTAGATGTGTCTAGGCACAGACCACATAGACGTATTTAGGCACAGATCCCCTAGATGTGTCTATGCACAGGTCACCTAGACGCAACTAGGCACAGGTCCCCTAGAGGTGTCTAGGCATAGGTCCCCACACCACCTAGAAGCATCTAGGCGCAGGTCCCTAGATGTAGGTGCGGCTAGAGGAGGGCGCACTTGCGATGGCGTCTCTTGACAGGCTCAGGCCGCAGCACCGCCCTCACAGCCTCATCGAACACCTGCGGACAGAACACCTGTTAGCGTGCGTTGTGTTGCACCTGCGGACAGAACACCTGTTAGCGTGCGTTGTGTTGCACCTGCGGACAGAACACCTGTTAGCGTGCGTTGTGTTGCACCTGCGGACAGAACACCTGTTAGCGTGCGTTGTGTTGCACCTGCGGACAGAACACCTGTTAGCGTGCGTTGTGTTGCACCTGCGGACAGAACACCTGTTAGCGTGCGTTGTGTTGCACCTGCGGACAGAACACCTGTTAGCGTGCGTTGTGTTGCACCTGCGGACAGAACACCTGTTAGCGTGCGTTGTGTTGCACCTGCGGACAGAACACCTGTTAGCGTGCGTTGTGTTGCACCTGCGGACAGAACACCTGTTAGCGTGCGTTGTGTTGCACCTGCGGACAGAACACCTGTTAGCGTGCGTTGTGTTGCACCTGCGGACAGAACACCTGTTAGCGTGCGTTGTGTTGCACCTGCGGACAGAACACCTGTTAGCGTGCGTTGTGTTGCACCTGCGGACAGAACACCTGTTAGCGTGCGTTGTGTTGCACCTGCGGACAGAACACCTGTTAGCGTGCGTTGTGTTGCACCTGCGGACAGAACACCTGTTAGCGTGCGTTGTGTTGCACCTGCGGACAGAACACCTGTTAGCGTGCGTTGTGTTGCACCTGCGGACAGAACACCTGTTAGCGTGCGTTGTGTTGCACCTGCGGACAGAACACCTGTTAGCGTGCGTTGTGTTGCACCTGCGGACAGAACACCTGTTAGCGTGCGTTGTGTTGCACCTGCGGACAGAACACCTGTTAGCGTGCGTTGTGTTGCACCTGCGGACAGAACACCTGTTAGCGTGCGTTGTGTTGCACCTGCGGACAGAACACCTGTTAGCGTGCGTTGTGTTGCACCTGCGGACAGAACACCTGTTAGCGTGCGTTGTGTTGCACCTGCGGACAGAACACCTGTTAGCGTGCGTTGTGTTGCACCTGCGGACAGAACACCTGTTAGCGTGCGTTGTGTTGCACCTGCGGACAGAACACCTGTTAGCGTGCGTTGTGTTGCACCTGCGGACAGAACACCTGTTAGCGTGCGTTGTGTTGCACCTGCGGACAGAACACCTGTTAGCGTGCGTTGTGTTGCACCTGCGGACAGAACACCTGTTAGCGTGCGTTGTGTTGCACCTGCGGACAGAACACCTGTTAGCGTGCGTTGTGTTGCACCTGCGGACAGAACACCTGTTAGCGTGNCCACACCCCCAGACCTGCTTGAGCCCCCGCTGGGTGAGGGCGCTACACTTCATGTACCCCCCACACCCCCAGACCTGCTTGAGCCCCCGCTGGGTGAGGGCGCTACACTTCATGTACCCCCCACACCCCCAGACCTGCTTGAGCCCCCGCTGGGTGAGGGCGCTACACTCCATGTACCCCCACACCCCCAGACCTGCTTGAGCCCCCGCTGGGTGAGGGCGCTACACTCCATGTACCGCACGGCGCGTATCTTATTAGCGAGCTTGGCGGCCACCTCGCGCCTCACGGGGCCCTGGCCCGCCTCCCCCAGCGCCGTGAGCGTCTCCTTGTCCTCCCGCAGGTCGATCTTCGTGCCTGCAGACAACAACACGGTCAATATATAGGTCAATATATATTCTATGGTTTTTAAACCATGGGTTTGGCCTTAAAACCCCGAAAAAGCCTTATTCTATGGTTTTAAAACCATGGGTTTGGCTCTAAAACCCCGAAAAACCCTTATTCTATGGTTGTATATATATAACCTTATCTATATATGGTCAATACGGTATATACTTGATATGAAACTACATGGTACCTACTTGCAATAGTACCATGGCCAACTAATAGTAGGATGGTTTGCTAGCATTTCAGCCATCGGGCTATTTCGCGTTGTGGGTAAAAAATTTACATAGGCCGCCATCGATGGCATCTCGCATGATTCACACAACGGCAGTCAATACACGATATGATAATACATGGTACCTACTTGCAATACCATGGCCAAATAGTAGTAGGATGGTTTGCTATATACTCGACACGGTAATACATAGTACTGTCACCGGATGTTCACCTCACGGCCAAACGTCGGCTACTATCTTGTTAAAATACGATGACTTTGGTAAAATTTCAAATACACTTTATTGCCCTGGGATTTTGTCTATTTAAACTTCGGTTAAGACATATAAAACTTGACTTTTATTTCAGTAAGGAACACTTAAAAGCAATACGTTTAAAAGAATAGCAAAAGCAGCGCGAGAGACATTACACTGCTTGATAAAGCGTTAATAGCACAGCCACAAGAACTAGCGCTGGGGCACAAGATCACTAGTGAATCAACGGAGCGAGGTTAGTTAAGGTTAGAACCTCACTATAGGGCTGGCGGGACACGACTGACTAACCACCTCACAGCCACTCAGACCTAACCTTGCACTACGTCGCTACCGCTGAAGTAAGGGTACCCACACAGTGAAAGCAGGTTGCCAGCGTGCTGTTTACCTGCTGAGGCTGGCGTCTGAATTGAAATAAATAGGCCTGGCACTGGCCTAATCGTCCAGGTTTTCACTGTGAACACTTACATTATTATCCTATGTTCATTCTTGTGGCAGGTTGGAGCAGGTTGCCTGCGCGGGCAAACCAGCTTTCACTGTGTACGTACCCTTAAGGTCCGACATAAATGTTACTACGGTGGCTATGCTAGATGCGGCTTTCTGTATAAACATGAGATTAATAAATTGAACGTGGCTAGTAGTAGTCAACGACGTCCAGCGCTCACATCACCTACGAGCAATACCATGGGCAAGTAGTGTTAGGATGGTTTGCTAGCACTTCAGTCACCAGACTATTTCGCGTCGGGGGTCATATATTAACAATGGTCGGCTCGAGAGAAGCAGCGTTAGCATCTCAAAGAGACGAAGTGACAAGGAGGGACAGGTGACAAGGAGTAAGGAATGTAAGGAATCCTACCTACATAATAACTTAACCCCTCAACTGCCCTGCCTACATGACATCTTAACCCCTCAACTGCCCTGCCTACATGACATCTTAACCCCTCAACTGCCCTGCCTACATGACATCTTAACCCCTCAACTAAGGCCCACATTCAGGCACTGAGGGCTCTGTGGTGGGGCGCTCAGGAACAGTGCTACTTTGGAAAGCAGAATCCCGAAGGACTTCTGACGAGCAGCCACCCTAGGGGGAATGTCACGGTCAATACTCCACATAAAACTTCACGGTGCCTACAATATGGTGCCTACGATATGGTGCCTGCAATATGGTGCCTACAATATGGTGCCTACGATATGGTGCCTACAATATGGTGCCTACGATATGGTGCCTGCAATATGGTGCCTACAATATGGTGCCTACGATATGGTGCCTACAATATGGTGCCTACGATATGGTGCCTACAATATGGTGCCTACAATATGGTGCCTAC